AAATCTCTACTATTTTTGAGAATATATTTGATTTTTTATTTATTTTTAATATTTTTAATTACTAATATTAAAATTTTTGATATTTTTTTAATCTTATTTTTATAATTAAGAACTTGAGATATTTATGGACTGACATAACGTAATAATAATAGTGAAAATTGATATTTTAATTAATCCATGCAAAAATGAAACTTTTTATCTTTTATCTAAACTTAGATGGAAAAAAATAGATATATCTTCAGATTCTTCCATTAAAACTAAATTTTCCTTAACAAAAAATATAATCTGATTGAATAAAAACTGAAAGACATAAAATGATAAATAGATTCGACATTATATATAATTTTTTATAAAGTATATGATAATAAGATAAATAAGGATAAAAAATCATGGATTCAAAATAACGAATATTACAGATTTTTAACACAAACTTTAAATTTTGTACGACTTCAAAGTGTATTCGAACTTCATATATGTATGTAATATTATTTTTGAATTATTTAAATAAATATTATTTTAAATTGCTAAATAAATGTTTTTATTATTTGCTAAATAATTGGCTTTACAAATTCTGTGAGAACCAAACAACATATATATTATTTATTATATTATTATATAATAAATTAATATGTTAAGAAATATTATTTCTAGATTTGTGTGTAGAGAATAGTGAAGATTAAAAAATATTGATTTAATGATTAATATTAAAACATGAGAAAAAGATATATTATGCAAACAGTCAAAACAATCTCATCAAATTATAATTAAAAAAAAAATTTATAGAATAGAAATCAATAGAAATAAAAGAATCAATATCATAAAAAAATTTAATAAAAATTAAATAGATTAATAAATTAGATAAAGCTAAAAGTATATAACAAATAATATATGAAAAATAAAATATATGAAATAAAACTCAGCAATATTAATTATAGAGGAATAGAAAATCTTTAAATAGTAGAAGAGTTAAAGATGCATTCTTGAAATAAATATAAAAAATGAATGAATAGAGAAACAAGAAATAAAGAATTTAACAAAATTAGAAATAAGAAACAATCAAAAAGACATGTTTGATGGAACAAGAAATATAGATAATGAAGAAAGAACAAAAAAAAAAGAGAAAAAGAATAATAATAAGAATAGTAAAAAGATTAACAAATAAGATAAACAAATAAAAGGAATTGAAAAAAACGATCAAAAACAAAAAACTGATCAAAAAAAAAGAAGAAAAGCATGGATGAAGTTTTCAAAGAACATAATATGACAAAAAATAAAACCTTTACAATTTGACCTTAACAGACAATTTAAGTATAATTATATATAATTATAATAATCTGAGAAAAAGAAAAATAAAGAAGAAGAAATATAAAAAATTTTAAGCATCCAGAAGAGTGAAGGGAAAAACAGAATAACCAATAATGAATAGAAAGGAATAACATAATAGTGAAATACAAGATAATTTTAGAAAATATGAAGCAAAAATTTTGTAGCATTTGTAGATATAAAGAAACATATATATGATAATATTAATCAAAAAATTAAAAGATTAATAGAAATTTTAAAATAAGAAGGAAAGAAATTCTAAATTTGATATTCGACATAGGAAAATGTTGAAAAAATTAATTACCAAATAGAAAAATAAAATATATAAGGGATTTTAATTCATCAAAAGAAAAAAAAAAGATTATAATCAATACTTTCTAATATATAATATATGTACATATATATGTACTATATATACTACATATATATACTAGATATTACAACTACATAGAAAAAATATGCTGACATATATATTATATATGTATATCAAAACCAACATGATCTATAAGTAAATAATAGCATTAAATAACTTAATAGAAAATTTAAAAGAAATAGATTTAAAAGTATCAATGAAAAAAACAAAGAGTTTACTTTATAAAGAAAAAATGCAAAATAAGAACAGAATTGTATAAAAAAATAAAAAATAGGAGATTAAAAAATTGAATCTATAGCAAAATTTCTACAAACATTATACATTAAATAAGAAAAATAATATAAGTAATTTTTATTATTAAAGACAAAAAGAGAAATCTAATAAACAATAAAAAAGAAAAGAGAAAAGAAAAAAAATCAAAGAAAAAGATAATAAAAATTGAAAGATTTTAAGAGGATTTAATAATAAAGATTCAAAATAGACCAAAAAACAAGAGACAAAAAAAAAGAAAGAACAGGAGAAAGAAAAAAAAAGGAACGAATAAAAGAAAATCAAGGTTACTTGAAAAGTGAGTGAAAAGTGATATATAATGAATAAAAATAAATATAAAAGAAATGAAAAGATCGTTAAAGAATATCTACAATTTAATTATGAATAATTTTTTAATATAATTAAACATAAAAATTAAAAAGAAATATATATGAGATTAATATTTACATAAAGTTTAGAATTTCTCTCAAAAAAAAAAGTGAAAGTTGTGAATACAAGCTTTATAATATTTATATGTATAGATATAAGAATAAATAGAAAAAATTATAATACAATAAATAAAAATATAAAATTATAAATATAAAGTTTTATAAAATGTAAACAGATTATTATATTAAGAATATTATTTTAATGTAAATTTTTGATATTTTTGATACTCTAAGTAAGTATAAGTTCAAATATATGAAAAGATTGAAATATTAAAAAATGAAAATGCATGGATATTGGAAAAATTGTATCAAGAGAATAATATTATTATTCAAAAAACGCGCGTAAAATAAGAATGGTGAAGATGATGAAATGTAGACAAAAGTCTTCTCTGTAATGTTTGTGACTTTAAGAATTCTATTAGAAGAATAAAATAAACTAAATGATCATCAAATGATGAATAATTTAATAATTTATTGTGTATACTATTGTGGATACTAGAATTTAATTAGATTAAAATAATTAAAACGAGTAAATTAAAACGATTTAAGTCGAAAAGATCTATTTCCTTGAATTTTTCTGATTGAGTAGGTTTCTTTCTATTCACTAAAAATTAATTATCTATCTTAAATCTATCCGGATGTTTCTTTATTTATAAAATTATACTATCATTATGTTATATTAATATATTAATTCAGTTTTACATTAAAATTGATTCCATGAAAGCTTCAATAAATAAAGAGAGAATGAAATATGTTAAACTAAATAATTATATAAATATAAAACACATATTATTCAAATATTCATGAAAGAAATTCAAAGTCAAACTCGATTCACTTAAAAATATTTAAAAAACTTAATTTATTTAACAAAGTTAAATTAGTTTTGTAAGATTAAGTACGATTCTTGAAAATATTTATATCACATTATTATATCACATTATATAGTATCCTGTCTATTCACATAAATTTATATCTTAAAGATGTAAATTTTCATAAAAATTATCTTCCGACTGATTTTTCTTTTATGAACCAGATCATTCTTATGATATGATATTTTATTCTATATTCATACGCTTGAAGATGGAAACATTAAAATATAGAGCCTTAATTCATTATTAAATTAAGACGACCCAAAAATAAAATTTTTAAATTTTAAAAGAAGAACTGGAACAATAAATTGACAAGTTAATAAAAAATTCTGCGAAAAAAAAACAATTAAGTCGATTAACATTAAGCATAAAATCTTTAATCAAACATTAGATTTTTAAATTTCGAAACAATCTTTTCTGGTAAATAAAAGTATCTAACAGTGGAAATTTAAGATCTTATTTTTAATATTTTCTGTTCAAAGCAAAGTAGATTAACACTTCATGGATACTAATTCACATTTTCAATTTCTAATTTATTTATTTTTTCAATAACATCAGAGTATTTGTTTTAAAGAAATATTCTTTTTTTTTATTCGGATTTTATTTACTTTCTTTTTTTATTTTTTCTTTCCTTATTTACTTTTTATTCTTTTTTTATTTTTTCATATTTAAAAAAAATATCATCAAATTTAGAATGGATAGATTTTAAACAATCAAATAGTTTATAATTCTATTTTAAAAAAAAATTTGTTAATATTATTTTTTTAATATTATAATTTTTTATTATTAGAACATAATAGAAATATGGAAAAATTATTTTCGATGATATTATTGAATATTATCGAATTTTCGATGATAAATATTATTAGCAAAAAAGAGAAATTGTTTCAACATATTGAATATCACATAACTACAAAAATATAACATATAAGCAATTTTATAATAAAATAAAAAGTAATAATAAATTTAAAAGTTATTATATTCAAAAAAATATGAAACTGAAAACTGTTTGAAAAATTATTGCAAATTTTTGAAATTATTTTAATTATTAATTATAATTAATAATAATAATTATGAATTTAAAATTATAGTTTTGTTTTTTATTCATAAATATTTTGTTTTTTATTCTAAAAAGTTCGAATAAGAAATTATATTCGAATTTTATTTTCATAAATTATATTTTCATTTATGTAAATAAATAATATAGTCTATATTATAATAATAATATAATGCAATAATAAATATATATAGTATATGTTTAATAAATATATATTATTATTGATAAATAAATAAATAATATTATATTCATATATTTCCATATACTACTTTTTTTGTTTTCTTTTTATTAGAAAAGTTTTTTTTATATATTTTCAACTTCAACTTAAACAATTTTATTTATTGGAGTTTATTATTCATCTCTTTCGATTTGTAAAATTAAATATATTAATTTGGACACTTTTCTATGCACTAAATCGATTTATTGAGCTATTTGTAACTCGATTAAATTACTGAATATCTCTGAACTAGCCTTAAAAGTGAGCATATAAAGAACTCTTATTCTGATGCCAACATTTTAGCTTTACATTATACTTGTGTACTTGAAAAGAATAATTGTGTTTATTATAAGATTTTTAATCTATTTAATAAATTTATCCATTTAAAAATGTAAGTAAAATATATTTAATTAAAAATATTTACATTCGTATTTATTCTTAAAAAAAAATATCATAAGTGAATAGGGAAATTTTTTCAAAATTTCTATTGTGTCCAATTAGATTCTTCTTTCATGATATTCGTGCTCTTATTCAAATAATAATTAAAACAAAATAATCGTTATATACAACAATGTTGCAAATAATATAAAATTTTTTTGATAAATTTAAATATTGATTCAATATTCGTATTGATATAATTAGTTTGTTATTGCAGTAAATTGAAAGATCAACATGGTGGTATGTTAAATTTTCCATTTCAATACAAGTTTTGTGATAAATTAGATTGTTTATTCGTAAGTTTATTATATAAGATTAAATTAATTATAAAACAATATATATATTACATTTTACTTTGTGTTATTAATATTATACGGTATTATTTTTATTATTAATCGATATTTTATAAATATATCTAAATTGTGGATACTAATTTTTCATCAGTTATTGAATTTAAAAATAAATCTATATAGGAAATAATATATCTATTTATATGGAATACGTTTTTTTTAAAATGTATGTATTTAAAATACGAATTAATTGATTGCAATTCATTTTAATATTAAAGAAAAAATGTTATTTGTTATTTACAGACGAAAATGTCACGTTATCGTGAATGGGATCTTTCATGTAAAGTTTACGTCGGTAATTTAGGAAACAGTGCTAGTAAACATGAAATTGAAAGTGCATTTAGTAAATATGGTCCGCTTAGAAATGTGTGGGTTGCTAGAAATCCACCAGGATTTGCTTTTGTAGAATTTGAAGATCCACGAGATGCAGAAGATGCAGTTAGAGGATTAGATGGAACGTAAGTGTTAAATGATAATAATTATTAATTATTAATATATAATAATAATTATTAATATATATTTATAAAATAATTAATAAAGTAATAACAATTATGAATTTTAATAATATAATTGTATTTTTATAGACGCTGTTGTGGAACTAGAGTGAGAGTAGAAATGTCGTCAGGAAGAAGTAGACGTGGAGGTGGTGGACGAAGACCAGGTCCAAGATATTCTAGGTAAGATTTTAATGTTATTCTATCTATATTTTATATTTGAACTGCTGCAGATGTTTAAGTGTTTTGTCAAGTAGGTATTATAGTGCAGTTATTAAATAAGATGTTAAGAAACAATGCACGAGTTTTAATGAATTTTTTTTATACACAAAAAGAATTTGAATAATTTTAAAAAATTATTTTATATAAAAATGCAAATAAAATATATTACATTTACAATTTAATTTTTTTGCTCTTTTGGCTATTCATACATATATAATAAATTTGATGAATTAAAATAATGCTAATTAAAATATATTAAATAATATTAAAACAAAAATTTTTGTATAAAATTTGAAAATTTATGAAGTTCGCCAAAGGATAATTAATTATATTGCATGAAAAAATATCAGGACAGTTTTGGTTATAACAGAAATAGCTTTTATAATTCAATTATTTTCCTCATTGTAATTTCTTTGTGAATATGCTTAATGAATAATAGGATTTATATACTATATATATTTTTTTGACAAACTTATAGGTCCAGATCTCGCAGTCCCAGAAGGAGATCATTGGGTCGTTATCCAAGGTAAGATTTTTCTAGCTTTATTAATTGCAATTTTCAGGTGCAAGTAAACAAAAGAAAGAAATCAAAGTGAAACATGGCGATCAAGAACATATGAACAGTTTGAAACATACAACAGTTTTTCTTCCTTTTTTTAGGTCCTGTTCAAGAAGTCCACGCAGATCACCAATATGCCGATATTCCAGGTATTTCTTATTCTTTTTATTTTATAATTTTATGGAATTTTCAGAACCTTACCAAGAACTGTCAATCTACAAATTATAAGTAGGTATTTGTAAATATTGTAATTTTACACAAACAATCACAATATATAAAAAATTTATAAAATATATTTATAAAATATATTATAATTTTCGTAGAAATATATTAAACATTTATAAATGTATTATATATTATTATTTTTAATATATTATTTAATATATTAAACAATTAAGATCAGCAATAATTAATATATTATCAACAATATAACTGCAAAAAGGACCAAACTTCAATTATTGCACATTTTTAGAATATATGTAAAATATTACATTTATAATAATATATAAAAATAAAATCAAATAAATATAATGATTATTATTTACTCAATAATGGTTTGATAGAAATATGAGTTATTATTTTATGTATGAGTTATTATTTTAAGTTTCAAAATTTGAAAATTGAATAATGTTGATTTCCTCCTATTTTCTACATTTGAAAAATTAAATACCAATTCATGTCTTCTATCTTCAATATTTTATAAATGAAAAATAAATCCTGTTTATGATAATATGTAATATTATAAATTAAAGAAAACAGAACAATAAATATAAGAATAATAATAAGACGAAAAAATAAATTGAAACAATAGAAAAAAAAAAAACAAAATTTGAAATTTGATAATTAATTATTAATTAGAAAGTTTGTTTAATGCATAAAAATTAGTTTTAGTAAAAAATACAAACAAATGTAATAATTTTTTGATGTTTATAATAATAGTTTATAATAATTTATTTTTAATGCTTACTATATAATTAAATTAATTTTGTATTGGAACTTAATCACTATTGATTATTTAATACTTTAAATAAAAAACTTTGATAATAATAAAAAATATAAGATATAAAAAATTATTTAATAAATATTTGATTATTTTAAAAATTTTTTTTAACTTTATTTAAATATTGAATAAATATATTGAATTTAATTAGTATTTCATCATATAAAAAATTTTAGTATTAAAATTATTAATTTATAAATAGCTTAAATTAGCCTAAATAAATTTTTTCTTATCATTGTTTCAATTCTTATTAAATTATATGTCCACGATTGATAATTTATATTCTCTTTCCATATTTTTCATATAAATATATAATATATATAATAAATATATAATATAGATTCTCTAGTCCCCCACAGGAATGTGATAGAAGGATTCGGAAGAGGGTAGAGAAGTCGCATGCGATTCGCAATTGCTTAGGCTTGACTTACAATTAGTTTAATTGAATTAGATATATTTTATATAAAATATAGATAATAAATTTGTCAAAAGATTACTTTTTTATAGATTTTTTTAACTATTTTATTATGATATAAGCGGTTATCTTATTGATATTGATTATGATAATTAAAATTTAATGCAATTATACTATTTGTGAAGCAGAATCTAAAAATACAAAATAGTTATGATATCGGTTTCAATCCTTGACAGTTATTATAGAAACCAAAATGATATGCTTTTTATGAATCATATTGAATCAAATGATATCAGTTTTGATTCATATTGATTTTTCAAAGCTATTTTATGATTATTATATTATAGTTCTATATTGATTAGAGTTCGATTGTATATGATATACAATATTTATAAAAATATGGGATACCTTTAGATTCTAGACATTAAAATGATAAAAAAAATTCATATACACATATATTCGATAACGCTTAATTAACTTAATATAATCATAAGCATTTTAAGTTTGTATTAAATAAAATAAAAAGATGGTGAAAAAGCGAGAAAACTCAGCTGAATGCATGACAGTACCATATTGCAATGTTGCAATGCTTGCGTAGCGAAGCCCTCAATAAAAATAAATACACTGATATTTTTTTATATACAAATGACAATTTTAAATGAATTTCAGTATAATATATAATATAAATATATATAATATAAATATAAATAATATAAATATCGTATAATATAACCATACAATATTTTTATTTAAAATATTTTAATTATGTAAATTGAAATCTATGTAACTTGTTATTTAACAGAAACTTACCTCGGATAAATTATAATAAATTCTACGATATATCGGAGTTATATAATGATTACACAAAATTTTATTTAAAATAAATCAATCGACAAATGTATTTCATTAAATTTGTCGAAATCCATAGAAGTAAATATATTTGGATTTTGAATTAGAAAAGTTGAATATATTTTTATACGCATTTTTTAAATTATTTTTATATGTACAAGAAAATCTGAAATATTGATTATCAATAATTGAATCGATTTAAATTTCAGATTATTAAATATAAGCCAATCAAATCATTAACAAATCTTTATTTTTATTTCACTTGCACTCAATATTTCTTATTCTTATGAAAAGAAAAATAATAGTTAATTTAGATATCAATAAAATGAATCAATATTACACATTAATATTACATATCCATAAAAAATGCGTATATATTACAATTGTTTTTTAAAAATATGCTCAAAATGAATATTATAAATTCATTAATTTTTTTTTACGCTTTTATTTTTAATATATGCTACACAAATGTTACGAATGAATTAAAACCAGAACAAAGTAACACATTTTAACAATTTGTATTTAATATACATAAATACAAGATTCGATTTCAGATATTATTATTCCCTTTTTTCTTTCTATCAAATCTTTTTTTCTAATATCTATGATCAGCATTCAATTGTTAGTAACTCTATTTCAATAACACATTGTGTGCCACGAAATTAAATGATGAAGTAATACATATTTGAATACTTATTTAAAATAAAGTTTAAATAATTTTCATATAAAATTAAGTTGATAATAAATAATAATCAAAATAATTTTATTCAAAGAAATTAATGTAGTGAATAAAAAAAATATTACTAATATACAATAGTAACATGAAAAAGAAAAATACAATGTTTATATAGTTATAAAACACATAAAATATAGATATTAAAATTTGATTATTATTTTTTTCTGTTTAGTAATGATTCAAATATCATTAATGTCTTTTTTATATATGTGAGAATAAGCAACTTTGTATATAAAAAAACACATTCAATCTTTCTAATCTAAAATTTTATGGGAGTATATTTTGATTTGCTTCTATAGATTTTGATAAGAAGGAAGATTAAGTGTCATATAACAATTCAGCTATAGATTTAAATAAAATGTTTGTATCATAAAATGATTTAGTTATAGATTTAAATAAAGTGGTATATGTGTTAATATTCTGGAATTTATTAAAATTTATTTGAGGTTTTCATTAAATAAGGAATTACATAATATGTACATCATATTACATTACATTGAAATTCATTTGAAATAGTTATTTCATATATATAAATATATAAAATAATATATAAATATATAAAAGAATATATAAGTATATAATATAATATAAAGTATGTAAATATATAAAAGAATATCAGTGCATTTACTTTTATAGAGGAGCAAATGACATTATAATACAATACTGTCATGTATTGAAATTTCGCCTTTTCATTCTAATATATAACTTAATATGCTTATAATTCATTAATATAATATATAACTTAAAATGCTTATAATTCATTAATTAAGAATCGAATATATGTCTAAAATCTCCCATCCAAATATATATCACATTTTTATAAACACTCTATATATTGTTGAGAAGAAGTCTCGAAAAGAATGCACATCTGATTGGTTAATATAGAAGTAAATGTTTATTTTCATACACATTTTTATTTCTAGTATATTTGTCATATTAATTTGATTAACAAAGATAAGATAAAGTCTATCAAAACGACGATCTATCTAAATCTCAATATATTAACATAGGCATAGGATCCAGAATATTCTACTATATCAATATGATATAAATTTATATAAAATAATATAATAATATAATTTTTTTTATTTTTTATAATATATGTAGATTAATTATGATTTGTAACAATAGTTTAATTTATAAATGTAATTTCATATTCAAAATAATTAAGATAATTATATGTGTACGAATATAAATATATTAATTATATATCAAATATATATAAATAATTAATAGTTTCGAAAATATTTTCAGTTTCCAATTTTAAATGATTATTCTAATGTAATTTCATAAATGAAAATAATTTTTACGATTTTGAATATTAATATTTAAATTATGGTTCTATGTAATGTGTGATGTCAGGATTGTCAATAAAACATCTAAAGTGGGAATTGGGAATTTTAGCGAAGGATCCCTTTTATTTGTGTCTTCTTTTCAGTAATATATATCTGTAGATATATCTATAGATGTATACATATATCTCTAGTATATATGTGTGTGTGCGTGCGTGCGTGCGTGCGTGCGTGCGTGCGGCGTGTGTGTGTGTGTGTGTGTGTGTGTGTGTGTGTGTGTGTGTGTGTGTGTGTGTGTGTGTGTGTGT